TATAATAATATATAATATATAATATATAATATATAATATATAATACTACATTATTATTGTAATAATACGTATAATAATAGTTATTATTATTAGTTTCCTAATAATATATTAGTTTCCTAATAAAAATAATAAAATAAAAACAATAACAATAAATCTTGCTATTATTATAATAATTATAATTATTATATTTTTGTTATTTTTGGCTTGGGTTGTTCCTTCAAGCAGTTGGTAATGTGCTGTTACAGGAAATGTTAAGTTGGCTTCAGTTTTCCCTGTGCTTGGGCAGCTTGAGGAGAAAACTGGAGGCTGCCCAGGCTCAAGTGAATTGAATTTAACCAAACTTGTCACAATTTTAACCAGTGACACTAGGAAATATTTACTCATCCTGATCAGAAAAAAGTGGTGCTTGTAAAGAAAAATTCAGGTTTTCACCTTTTTTCTATAGAGTAAATGCCAACTGAATCATTATTACAGATGAAGTGTGTGATCCTTGGAATCCATTGTGACACTTTATCCATTTAAAACCTCCTTTAATGAGCAGTTCCCTCATTTTTTCCATAACCATTCCATACCTGTAGGAAATTGTCTTGCTTTTCTGACTGTTTTCCCTGTTTTACTTGCTGCAGTGCTTGGGACTGCATGAGTATTTTTCCTTTGGTTGCTCATGAAAACAAGATGTGTTTCAGTAGGATTTCCTAGTGAACAAGATTTTACATGAATGAAGAAATAAATGTTTGATGTAAAGGCTTTCATTGATTCCCAAAGGCACGGGCCATACAAATTCCCTTACAGCACGCATTTCTGTCTCTTTTGCATAGTCAAAACTATTTCAAAAAGACGAAATTTTAAATATTTTATTAACTGCTGAGAGTTCTACCTTCTTGCTGTGATCATTTTCAAGGCAAGTCAAACCAGTACCTCCTTTCTCTGAGCATTAAACAGCTTTTATTATTATTATTGTCAGCCCTGGAAAGGTCAATTCTTTCACCTTGGGGAGGAGATTTAGGAAGGGAAAAAGGAGCCAAGTGAGGTACCTAGCCCAAGGTGTTACAAGCAGTTTGTAACACATTTATAATTTTAATATCAGGGCTGAGAGATAATGATATAAGAGAATTTTTTTTTCTGGTTGCAGGGTAATGCAAATTCCAATCAGGTCCCTTTGAGGTATGGTTTTATAGACTCTGTCTGTTCCATTATCAGATATCTGGGTGTCATGACCAGTCCATTGGACTGCACAACATCTATATTATTACTAGCATTGATTGCTCATAAAAAATAGGGTTTATAATTAGGAGAGCATAAAGTTACTACCTGGAAGAGTGGATAAGGAGAAAATGAAATGAAAAAGTCACTTAATCTTAGTAGTGCAGTTCTGCAAAGTACCATTTATTTTTCTCCTCATATAACTGAGTTCTGTGTTGATAACAAGCTACTGAGTTAATAAATCTGTGGCAGCCATTGAGACTTCTCTTTTAATAACAGAGTTAATGAAGGAGCATTAAGGAAAGGAAAAATAGATTTTGCAGGGTTTATTCCCATCTTGGTACTATGCTGAGTGCAAGAAGACTTAACAAGGAATTGTTTTTATACCAACATCCATCTGGTTTTTTGCATGGTCACCACTGCATTCCAGGGTTATGTGTACCAATTCCTCAGCATTTAATTTTATATTTACTTCATTTTCATTTGATCCAGCTAGCTAAAAGATGAAGATTATTTTGTGATATAAAAATCTGCTTTGTTTCCCGTTTTAATCCTTCACCGTTCTACCTTTCACTGCTCTGAGAAAGATCCTTTCAGCAGATTGAGAGGCCACTTTTAAGGCTGTGTGTTCACTCCTGAGATAGATTATAAATGTCTGTAATGGGAGCAGAGTGGGTGCACCTCGCTTTTAAAAGAAAGGGACTTCTAAGATTAAAGTGAGAAATAAAATTCTAAGCTTAAAATGAGAAATAAAACTCTCTTCCTGAAGGTGGGGTTACCTGGAAGGGCTGGCTGCTACACACAGAACCTGTGATCAGGTTTTCTAGTCATGTTTGTGTGTTCTCAAGGTTTGTGCACCTGAGCCTTTGGGCAATCATTTTTTATTTCATTTCAACTCCTTTTAACTTACTTTTGTTTTCCCTCTCCATGCCCCCATAATAAAAGGGAATAGTTTCATCATTTATTGATGTTATAGTTAATTTTATGCCAGAATAGTCAGTCATGTTTATGAGCCAGACTTGCTCTGTGTTTTATTCAATATGGTCTGTTAACTAAAAAAGGTAAATACAGATGTTGGAGATAACTGAATGTTCATGTTGCAAGTGATAGAAATTTAATGATTTTTCAAAATTCTTGCTCAGCTAACTGAAATGCCAGCCCAATCCAGTTTCATATCTAATATCAAACCCTTTGCTTTAACTTAACATGTATTTATTAAGAAAGTACTTTGTTATTACCTGAAATTCTATATATAATTTTTTATATATTTTTTTTTAAATATATATATTTTTTTACAATTTTGTTTTGTGGTTTTGTGTTTTCCTAAAGTCCCAACCCAGCTTTGCAATTACAGGAGAAGCTGAACTGAGCTGTCAAAAAAAAAAAAAGAATGGAGAAAATCTGAAAAAAAAAACCAAAAAAAAAAAAAAAAAAAAAGAAAATCAACAGTTTTTAGACTCTCTTGATGTGTTTTTAACTCGTAGAGTTGGGTTTGAAGCACTTGGAGGCCACTGAGAGCAGGTATCGCTCCTCTCTGCTCTTGGAGCAGCAGCGCATTGGAGTTGATGACTTCCCTTCCTTTGTGCTTTAATTGCCAGCACTTAGTGACACTGCAACCAGTGTGGAGATTTATTCCCGTGCAAAACAGATTGACTTAGGGTAATTTGAATACTTTATGCATGGCTAGATTCATTAGGAAAAGGAGGCAAGGCAGAACTATAAAAAGAACTAATAATCTTGCTAAAGGAGCCGTTAATTCCCCACAGCATTGGAGACACTCGCACTGAGCAGGCCGAGGCTGACTTTTTGCAGTCTCCACGGGCAGCCTCTGCTCTCTGTCCATAAAACAGATGGCAGAGATGCCTTTCTTTGTCTTATTTCATTGTCTGGCCCATTTCTGGGTTAGAGCAGTGGCTGAGGTTGGAGGAACTCTGGAGCTCACCTTGGCCACCCCGCCTGGTCCCTGGAGCTTGTCCAGGGCTGGGATGGAGGATGGAGGATGGAGGATGGAGGATGGAGACACCTCCTGGGGCAGTGCCCAGTGCCCTCCAGAGTCTGGAGGAGTTTCCTGCTGCTCTCTGGTGTCCTGTGTTGTGCCTGCTGCCAGCTGGACCCGGCTGGACAGAGCCTGGCTGCAGTCTCTTGGCACTGCAGGTGTTCACAGCCACTGCTGGATCCTTCCCCTGCTCCAGCCTTTCCCCTGGTGCTCCACTGCAGCCAAAACCCAGCTCAGACCGTGTTTGCATCCCCAGAGGAGCTGTGGAGCCCAGCTCTGTGCCCAGCCCTCAGCATGGCACTGCCAGGACACGGGCTGGGCTGGGCTGGCTGGGCAGGGACAGCTCAATCTTTGGGAAAAGCCAGGAAAACCTGAGTGTCTGCGGTGTTCCTGGCACGTGTTTTGCTTCTGAAGTGACTCTGATGCTTTAGGATTCCAGCATTTCCATTTTCCATGTGTTTGTAACCCTGCAGTTCCTCAGTGCAGAACTCTGAACTCCACACCCAGTGCCAGCTGCTGCTTCCCCACTTT